TGGGGGCGTGGCTGAGGGCAAGCGGGTGTGAGTTGCAAGAGTGGGTGTGGCATGTCAGTCCCGGGGCGGAGCTTGTCTTAAAGGGGCAGCCGGCGATTTGAAAGGGGCGGGGCTCCATTTGAAGAAGGCGGGGCCTGTCTTAAGAGGAGGCGGGGCCCATATTTAAATGGGCGTGGGTCAGGTTCGAGGGGGTGTGTGTAGGGGGACCCACATTGGAGGGGGCGTGTCCAATATTTAAAGAAGGGACACGACTGCCTTAAGGGGGGCGTGGCCCACGTTTAAAGGGCCACGGCTCCAATTAAAGGGGGTGTGACCCACCTTTGGGGGGGGTCACATTAAAGGAGGAGTGGCCTATATTTAAAAAAGCATGGTGCAGCTTTGGGGGAGGAGCCACATTTAAAGGGCCACAGCTCAGATTTAGGGAGCCCTACATGAAAGGGGGCGTGGCCACATTTAAAGGGACACAGCTCAGCTTAAGGGCATGGCTCCGCTTTGGGGGGGGGGGCCACATTAGGTGTCCCCACATAAAAGGGCCCCCAGCGCAGTCCCCCCCCCCAATACCTGTCCCACCGCCGCCACCGGCACCGGGGGGTCCGTCGGGGTGGGCGTGGAGACCCAGGTGGGAATCCCAGGAGCGGAGGACGAGCTGCTTCTCGCGGGGTCCCCAAGCGCCGGAATAGGGATGTTTCTGCCGGATATGGCGCTTGATGGTGCTGAGCTTGAGGGTGGCGAGGGCGCTGCCGCAAACCATGCAGAGCATCCCGTGGCGCGCCGCGTTGAACTCCATCAGGTATTCGGCTCGCCAGCGTTCGTGGTAATACCGACGGTGATCCCGACCCGGGATACGGCTCCGACCCGGCCGCGACGCTCGAGCTTCGCAGTGGTCTGAGCTCCGACGGCCCCCCCGCGGTCCCGGCTCTGGCGGGGAGGCTGCGAGGAGCGGGGGGCGGGGGGGTGATGGAGGGAAGGGGTATGGATTTGGGGGTGGGGGTGTCTAAGGGATGG